TCTCCACAACCAGATCCCAAACTCCCCAACAGAAAATCACATATTTTCTATCTGCCATTGACCAGCTCTCCCTCCCCTCCCTTCCCAATGCATAACAATGAGATCTTCAAACAGTCACTACTCTCAGGATCGGTTGAGAAAAAGATTGGAGAAAAATGGAATATATCCCTATCTCCACACTGTTTCCTTCCATCTTACCAATGTATTTTTTTATTTTTATTTTTACTTCCCGACTCCAAGCCTCATAATGTCTGGGAAACGTCTGCTTTGTTGACCAAGGTTGGCCAGAGTAAACATGTTTAATGAATCCTTGTGGAAGACAGGAGTGAATGTAAAGGAGGAGGAGCCTATTCAGGGGGGATTTCCGTGCACTGTAAAGAAGAGAAAGGAAAGCAAACTTCGGTGGTTTTCATTTTTAACTATGGGCCAGTTGATGTGGACTCAGCAATTCAATGAACTGCATTCATCAATTTTTGTCCCTGGGGTAGAGTCATGAGACTAAGACCCAGAATTCTTGGTCCCACCCCATTTGTGGCATTAACACACACACACACACACACACACACACACACACACACAAAACCTTGGCATATTTCACCAACCAGGTTTTTTTTTCTTTTTTTCTTTGTCTCAAAGAGGCTCAGCTGAACACTAGATTCCTCACCCAGTGCAACAATCAAAAATTCAGTAAACCTCAGCTGCCTCAGATGATGTCACAGAGCCCTTAAGAATGCTCACTGCTGAGTTGGGCACAGGTCCAGCAAACACAATTCTTTCTGCCAGTTATTCAGGGTCTTTGACAGGTTAGGTGGTCTTTTTTCTTTTTCTTTTTCTTTTCTTTTTTTTCATCCTCTTAAAAGGCAGTTCAGTTTACCTCTAAGCAAGACATTAGCTCTGGCTGCCCCAAATAACATTTTAATTGAAGTCTCAGTCCAAACAAATGCCCAGCCTCTTTATTAACCCCAACAGTGTAATTTTTCAGCCTCAGACTGATTCAGGGGGAAACTGTCTCACTTAAACCGCCATGCAACGGAACATGACAGTTTTCCTCAATCAGTCTCTTTTCTGACCTTAATTTGAACCTTAATCTCTTTTAACCATGTTCTCTTTATTAGCTGCTCGTAGCCGTGGCACAATACTAATTTTCCTGTTTTTAGACTATCGGCTTACAAAGGTATTTCGCTCCCCCTTCTGTCCCCAAATGTAACCAAGATTTCATGGACCTTTTTGATAAAGGGAAGCTAATGCTTATTCTTAACATTTTTTAGGTTTAGTCATTTAAATAGCTGCTTCGCAAAATGTTCTATAGAATCTGAGAGTGTATTTTTGAGGTACATTAAAGTTTACATACAAAAAAAATACACTTAATGGTCATAAAAACCTAACAAGTCTTTTAAAGGATTATGAAATATTTTTCATCAATACGCAGGTCCACATTAATAAAATAAAGTAGAAACTAAGGTTATTATCTTGATAATTCAGGCAGAAACAGTATGTTTTATTAGAAACCTCTCGTTTTTGGGAGGAGACCTGAATTACACAGATAATTGCTTCAATTCCCTTCTTCATTTTTATGCTTAGATATAATCAATGAGTAATGACAGAGAAAATCACTTTTTCCTATGATATCTTTCCATTTTTTGACATTGGTAAAATGATCCAATTTTTTTTTTAAAGCACCCTTTTTAATAACAATGAAAAACAAGCCCATGTTTCTATTTGGAGCTTACCTTAATATAGCAGAACTATATAGGTAGAAAAACAGTGCTTAAGATCTTGTGCTCAACTGGATTTATTATAGGTTTTTGTACTTTCTGGCATTAGCATGAAAGCATAGTGGTTATTATTCTTTATAACGTAATTGTAGGCTTTGTATCTAGTTTCCCCTCTGTTCTCTACTTAATACAATAGTTTGTTGATTGCAAAAATTACATTTCTGTGACTTTAAAGTCCTAGAACTAGGATTGCCATTGAAGGCTGGAGATTCAGCCTCGTGTTTAGAAGACAGGGACCATGTGCCTTCTGGGTGAGAGGAGGTAGGCAGCTGGGAACAATTGTCTGTCCCCTGCAGTGTTCAGTGGCATTAGCAGCGTGCTGGCATGATAAACTTTGCCTTCATTTAACTGGTTCAAACAATTAGTGGGATTGAATCAGAGTTCTCCCGGATCATAGTTTATTATATGTTATTAAATTCCATTATTCAAGAAGTTGCTGCTTTGATTGTAAAACTTCCCGACATTTCCCACAAAGCTCCCATCTCCATTCCTTGAGTACTTCCTTTTATGTTTACCTTGTGCATCTCTGATAGGCAAGGTTTCTTTTTTCTTCTCTTTCCCATTGTTACTTATTTAAAGAGCTAAGAGCTAATTTGAAAATACATCTTAGAAAGGGCAACAAAAATGAGATGTGAAAAAAAATGGATGAAGATTCTTAATTAGTCCATTATTTGACACGCACGATTTAACATGGTATGCTTAGCATTGTGCATTCCCGAAAAGAACAAGGCTCTTTTTTTTTTTTTTTTTTTTTTTTTTTTGTATCCCAAACTTTAACTCGCCCTCATTCATTATATCCCTTCTTGTCACTTTCCATTAGCTGATTGTGACATCCTTTGCTGGAAGGGCGAGCAAGCAGATTACTTCCAAACTGGTGTAAGTGACACTCAAAAGACTGCCCTAAAGGGAGTTCTGTGATAGCGACAAGCTCCTCAGCCCCTGGAGTTGGAGAATGTCATTTCAATAATATGTTGGAGTCCATTGTCACATCATTTTTGTAGCATGTTGTTAACTTCCCAGAAGTGGCAGGAGTGGGTTTTCTGCGGGAACTTATGTGTTATAGCATCTACTATTGTTACTGTTTCTGATGATGATAATGATGATGATGATAATAATAATAATTTATTGTGCCAGTCCAATCCTTCTAACTAGCATCTTGAATTTTACAGATGAGGAAATGGAGGACAAAAGAAGTTAAATAAATTGTCCTTTGGTCACACAGCTGATAAGCAGCAGAGCTAGGATTTTAATTGAGGCCTCAAGGTCTTCAAGCTATGCCTTTTTCCATTGCAACTGGCTACACACACTGCTCTAACTTCTAGGAAACTTCGGCATGTCTCTCTAAATTGCAAGGGTAAAGAAATGATCAAAAGAGTGTTTATTTTAATGCAACTGAAAAATATCATCACTAGGCCCTTCTAAATGGAGGCGGGAGATGACTGAACGAGTCAGCAAGGGCTCACGCACACATGCATAGATTGTGCTAAGAAAATACATCTTAGAAAGGACAACAGAAAGTGGAGAATCTGATGCGCTGATCAGACTGGCCCGGCAGAGGTAAACCGTCCCCTAGATCATCATCCCTGTCCTCCACAATCCCCCCCCTACTCCCAAAGGTCCAACTTTGGGAATCACCCTCAGCCTTGGAAGGCTGTTGTCCTGGGAAGAGCTGAATGGTTGCAGATAAAACACACACACACACACACACACACACACACACACACTCTGATACGTCACAGGCAGGACTCTGACATGGACAGATGAGCAGTGCCAGGGCCAATCCCGGTTGTCACTCAGATCCTCAAACCAGCTTTTGGCCTCATATGGCCTCCTGCTCTTGAGAAAACCAAGTTTTCTTCATTAACCAAGTTTCAGCTCCTTTCCTTCATTATGGAAGTTTCAGCTTCTTTTTTTAGTAACCCTTGAAACGTTTTGATCATAAAATAGGGAATAGAGAAATACAGAGCAGTACATTAAATAAAACTTACCTGTCGTTCCACCATCAGAGGAGAGTTTGTAGTCTCATGGTTTAGGCTATAAGCCAGTCGGTGAAACAGGGTGGGATAGACTCTGAAAATCGGACTATCCTTCTTTCAATCTAGACACTGCTACCAGCATGCCACCTCTCTCAGGACCCCCGTTTTGTCATGGGTAAAGTACCTCCCTCATAGGGTTGTTGTGACAATGACCTAATGCATGTCAGGTCGCTGGCCCGTAGGGACCCCTTCCTTCATTCTAGTTGCCATTGCATGGGTGTTGGTCTAGAGTTCTTGTCTTACTTGCTGTTTCTGACCATGCTTCAGCCTCCTGGATCCCAAGCCCATAGATAACTTCACTCTCAGCTGCAATTCTTTCCCTTCTCGATCTGTGTGGTTTGACCAGCCTCCTCCTCACGCCCCGCGAGTGATTTTCTAGGTCTCCAGGTCTTTCCATGTCACCGTAACCGTTACATCAGCATGGCCAGCGTCTTAGTTCCGCTTCTCTTTGCTGGACACATTTCTCCCTGGATGCCCTGCTTCCCTGCCCGGCACCAAGGCAGAGCCTGGGCCACGCCCTTCATTCTCCTCTCCTGAGCTCCTTAAAGGGAGACCACGCGGAGGCCCCGTCTGGAGTCTGTGATCCTAAAGGCAACAGTAGCATCAATCCACACATTTTGGGCTTTTGCTTCCAGACATACAGGGTGGGCAAGGGTAGGTTTACAGCTATTCATATGGAAAATAATAAATAAGTAATAAAAATAATAGAATAAACTCTGTGTTTTGAAGAGTCACCACTGTAAACCTACTTTTGCCTACCCTTGTGTATACTCAATACAGGGCAAGTATATTTGTTTAAACCATTTGAAATGTAAAAGAGGATTTTTAAAATTATCTTTTATTAAAAAAATCCTTCTTTCTCTCCTCAGAGATCTTAGCACCACTGAGAAGGAGGAAATACGTGTATTACATATCTGTATCGATATATATTTTTTTTAACTGGCAGAATGCATGTGATGGGAGAGTGGACAGCCAGGGACAGGGATGGAGGAGGGGGATCACATTTACTGAAACTGAGAGTTCACATGGACCTTTCAGACTTAAAAAAAAAAAAATATTGATTTTACATGCCAAAATCTTGAAAGGGGCTTGACGGCTCACAGCTTTGGTGTGTTTTTCCAGATGGCAGATGCCATTTTGTGTTTTGCATAAACTGACTAAATTTGCTTGCTCTTTGTACTTATTTCAGAGGCAACCATTCTTTGCTTTCAATGGGACAGAAGAGCTCCTTGGCACTGGAAGCCTCCTGGTCTGGTGAGGGAGGAAGGAGGGACTGTTCTGGGGACACATGGGCATCATCCCACTTTCTACATTCAGACTGAGGACGGAGCTTGGGCCGCGGCTTTGGATTCTCATTACCTCGGGGTGGTCTGCCTGTGAGCGAAGCACAGGAGGTAAGCTATGCAGAAGAACTGCCCAGAGTTACCGTTCCAGTTTGCCCATTCTTATCCCTGTGGAAAACCAATGGATTCATTATGCTCTTCTTTCAACCTGCTTACATTCTGCTGATTTCCAGTTGTCATCCTGGACTCAATTCCTCTGTGCTTCACTTTTTTTTTGGGGGGGGGGGGCGGGCGGAGAAAGATGGAAAGAAAAAGAAAAGGATGATAGTAGTAAGTTAACACTTAAACTCTTAAGATCGTTGTGGTGGTCGCATGGATTCTAAATCCATGTGAAGGATTTAGAACAGTGCCTGCCATATAATGAGTGTTCAAAAAATGTTGGCGATTATTATTATTGCTATGATTAATTTCCATGGAAATTTGCATGTTTTTCTTGTTTTCTGCTGTTGGCCCTGTTCTCCTCCCAACATCATTATGCTAACTCTTTCGGTAGTTTCTATGGAAATAGACTGGGGGTAGAGGGGTTAAATGACAGGCTTTGCAGTCAAGTAGAGTCAAGCTGAAGTTCTTCAAGTAACATTTCATCGATGTATCTCCTCAACAGGTATCTCCCAGCCGCAGTCTCTTTATCCATAAAATAGGGATGATAATGACAATATCTGCCTCAACATTTCTGAGAGGATTAAATGAATCAATGCTTGCACAGTGTCTGGCTAATATATAAAGCATGTTGTGTATTGTTATTATTTTTGCTCTTGCACTCACAAGGGTCTTTAGAAACTTGACAAGGCTTCAGGGCTCTGGCTTTACATCAACTGACCCACCAGAAAAGAGGGCAAACACAGAAATAGAAAGATGCTGTGAGGCTGTGACTTTATGGGGACTCTGACAAATGATCAAACAAAATTGACAGTGTTGAGCCTTGCCTCACATGGATTTCAGTTAAAGTTAGAAAATTCACATTTCTGAGCAGGCCAATCCCAACTCATGACATTGGGGATTTTTCCAAAGGACAGGAACTGTTGGGATAGGAACTAAAGGCTTTTCTTCTGTTCTAAAGCCCCCAAATAAAGCAAAGAATGAGGTAGGTTCTGGGGGAAGAAATAGCTACTCATGCTGGTTACCTCTCATGGAGGAATGTGGCATGTGCATATTATAGAATGTTCCCACTTCACGTTTTCAGAAATATATATTTAGTTCTTCCCTCAAACTGAAAATGGATGGAAGTGGCATCTGTGACTGAAAGAAAGCTCCCTAAACACTATGATTGTGTTCTTGGACAGTTGAAAACTGTGTAAATGACCTTTTCCTGCCTCATCCAGCAGTAATGACTGGTCTCTATCAGTATGTGACTGCTCTCTGTTAACAAGTGAATAAAGAGAAAACAGCTGAATACTTGAAACTTTTCCCCCAAAGCCAGCAGGAAACCTGAAGAAAAGGAAGAACATGGAACAGGGAAGTGTATTTTACAAATAGCTACGATCTTGCATATATTTTGTTTGCCCTCTTAGATTTGTTTTAACCTCCCCATTGCACTGTCTGTTACTTATAAAGTAAGAATCAGATGGGATTTGATTTGGAAGGAAAAGACACAGACATGACTTATTTTTCACATCGACAAGATGACAGCCCATCTTTTTCTCTTGACCTCATGCTTAGAAATGGCTCGGAGAGTGGAATGCTGTAATTAATGATCATTAAACAGTGAAATAAGAGAGGAAAGTTAAGATCAAATAAGAGACAAAAGAGAGAAAGTACATGTCAAAGGAAAAAGGAAGAGAAGTTGGAAAGAACAGGAGGAAGCTCTTATTAATGTGGGGGAATAATAGCATACCACACCAAATGAAAAACCCCCTAAAGCTTTATAGTACCGTGACAGAGATGGCTATCCGACCAGTGAAGATTTATCCTCCACTTCCACAGTATAGAGATGTTTTGGGGAAGCAATTGCTCAGCCAGAGACTACATTTCCCAGCCTTCTTTGCAATGACATGGGAGCCTGTGACTAATTCTTATCAGTGGAAAAGAAGCTGAATTGAAGAGACGTGTGTCACTCTTGTTTTCAGTTAACATTGTGTCTAGTTTTTTTCTTCTCCCTACTCCCCTTCCCCATACGTTGCCCTCTCCATCTTCTGGCTGGACAACCTTGATGTCATCCATATCTAGAAGATGTGGAGCCATTACCTGGAAGGAATCTGATCCCTGAATGACTTGTGAAGGAGTGGAGCCCAGGCTAGCTGCCCAACCAAGAATATCCACATTAGACTTTTTGTGAGTGAGAAGTAAATGTTGGTAGGTTAAACCCCTCTAAGCTTTTGGGGATTGCTTGTTACATCAGCAAGCATTACTTGCCTTGACTAATATGGAAACTGGTATCAGCAGGGTGCTCTAGAAGCAAGTGCTTTTTCTTTTCATCTTTGTTTAAGAGCCAGTTAATGATTTCCTGATATTCTATTTTTCTTGTATTGTGAAAAGCAGCCAGTAACAACCAACACATGCTCTTTTTCACCTACAAGCCCAAGAGTCATGTGGTCTGACTTTCAAGTTCCTAAAGGCAACAGTTTTGCCCAGTGTTTTTCCACTGCCCGATATGGATCTCCAGCCGTCGAGCCTAATATATCTGCTTCCAGCGATCTGACTACAAAGGCGATGCCTCATATTTTAGAGTTTTGTTACAGGACACCACATTTGGCACCAAATATGACAGTCTCGTTTAGTCAGAAAAATAGAAGCCGCTTATGGCAGACATAAGGCAATGTGTTCACCAAACCATTTCTCCTCCCTGGGCACAGGGGAAGACTGCAGTCCCCTCTTCCTTGCAATTTAACTGGGACCACAGGACCAATTATTTATTTATTTATTTATTTATTTATTTATTTATAGTCCTTACCAAAGGACATGTTTCCATTGGTTTGGGGGGTAGGGGGAGAGAGAGAGAGAAACATTGATTGGTTGCCTACCTTACATGCCCCAACCAGGGATTGAACCTGCAACCTAGGTATGTGCCCTGACTGGGAATTGAACTGACAACCTTTCAGTGCATGGAACGATGCTCCAACAACTGAGCCACACATCCAGGGCAGAACCAACTTTTTAATGGAATGTAAACAAGCAGAAGTATTGTGCCACATTTGGTCCAGGGAATTAAGAGCACATGTGTTTTCTCTATGTTCTCTCTTCCTTTTCCTCAGCGATCTTGGATGACGTGTATTCATATAGTGTAGTTACAAGATAGAAGCCACTCAGTCTACATCCTGAACAAGAAATAATCTGTACTTTGTTATGCTGCTCAGAGTTGGGGCTGGTTGATTACCAAAATATGCCTATCCCATTCTGACTTATATATTAGATATATTTCCATGATGAAGAAATTCCATGTAAGGAATTAGAGGTTTACAGAATCATTGGGAGAGCTAGGGAGTAAAGGCCAAGGAGGTTGTTACTAACTTTCAGGGAATCTGAAGTAAAGGAATCCCCAGGGAAGCCAAGTTGCCACTAACGATCTCAGCTACCTGTAGCACCCAGGGGTGGCGATGCTCAGGGGGATGCTCAGCAGCAGACACCTAGCCCCTAACTCTGCTGTCTGCCAGTGCCCACACATCTACTTGTAGCTACTGATAAAAACTGCCTTTGCCTTCCACCTTCCAAGGATTCTGCCTCTCAGTGGCAGATTACACCAAGAATCCTCCTGGCAAGGGACCCTGGGAAATGTAGTTTTCAGGCTCTCGGACCTGTAGTTCAGAAGAGACCTTAGAACAAAGATGCTTCGTATTGAGTCTCAACAAAAAATGTCTGGCACAAGCTCTCCTTTGTCTTTCCCTTAGGAAATTCAAGTTTCCCTCCACAACCCATTTTCTCTTGGAAGCTCCTTGGGGGCAGAGCTTATGTCAATTCTCTATCCCCAGTGCCAGGCCATACCAGACAATAAGTTGTCCTGAATTGATTTGACTGGAATGACAACAGAATAAGTAGCAAATAAAGTTGTCCTCATGTGTTTAAGTCAGATTTCAAAGACTCCTGTCCACAGAATCTGATAATTCTCCCTAATGACTGCCCTAGGTTCTGCCCCTGCTTAAGCCATCTTCCGTCCTAGCCTGCTCAGAGTGGCCGTGGGGAGCTGCTTGCTCAACAGGTGACCTGGGGTCCTCTCTGCACAGCCAGAAGGAGGAGGATTCGACAGTAGCCTAGTTTATTGGATTCATGGAGACTGTCAATCATATATTTTTTGTTTTAGACAGCATTCTCAAGTTGGCTCTGTAGAATTACAAAGTATTTCTGTATGTTGTTCATTTGGTTTTGAACACTACCCTTGTGCTCTGGCAGGGTTGGGACCTCTTTGGGAATGTGAGATTTTTGAGTACACATGGGGGCAGGTTTTGGAGTATCTCAGTGAAGGGCAGGTGGGGTGGGTTTGAATGTTAGAAAGGACCTGTTCAGCCATAAGGAAAGGATGCTCAGGAAAGGGAGGGCCAGACCCTGGTGTGATTTCATCTGGAAAGGTACAAAGTTAAAGCTCTGTGGAAGATTAAAGACATCCTCTTGAATATTTATTTTCCTCACCAAAAAAAGGGTAAACCTATTGTGCCCACGGTAAAAATAATGATAGAATGACTCTGACTTATTTACACCCATTAAAGAAATGAAAGATATGGATCATGTCACTAATTAATCTTTGTATCATCATAAGGTGGTGCCTGTATCCAGCTGACGAGTGCTGTGTGCATAACAGCACAATTATGGGGGATGTGGTGAGGTAACAGCTGCCAGTGCCCGGCATTTAGCCTCTCTTTTCCATCCCCACCCACCCTGATCTTGGGCTATATTTAGTAGTTTTACACAGTGTACCTGGACCAAAATCTTCTTTACAAAATTAAAAGAATAGAGGGAAGAGTTAGAGTCTTCATAGCAAAATCAGGCTCCACAAGATCTATTTCCCTTGATTACCCATGGTCCTTGTTAGTTAGTATATTTTCTCTTACTTTGCACCTAGACTCACGGCTGAAACACAATCATGAGTTTACTTTGTATAAAGGGAAGTAGGGCATTGAGCAATCATCTAATGAATACAGTCAAGATGGTTAGTGAATCTGGAAAATTCCACTCTCAAAAAAATTACTTTCTCTACTCTGTAGCAGATTTCCTCTTGGCCTTAATTATCCACAGAGTTGTCCAATTTTCTGATAATATTTATGTTGTTGACATCACCTTAATAATTTATTTAATGGATTCATTGGGTTTATTTAGGAACCCTTTATTCTAAGTGGCTTCTTTTATCAATTAACATTAGAACTTTAATCAATAAACATAGAACGTTTTTCCCCAGTTATCTATTGCTGTACAACGAACCACCCAGAACCTAGTGACTTAATGAAACAATGTATTATCACTCTTGGTTCTTGAAGGTGATGGGCTCAGCCGGGCAGTTCTTACTTTGAGTCCCTCATGGGTTTGCAGTCAGGTGGTAACTGAGGCTAGAACTATCTAAAGGTTTCTCCATTTATATATCTGTCATTGGGTTAGTTGGGAATATCTCTCTCTCTCTATGTAATTAGCTTGGGTGCCCTCAGAACTTGTTGTTTTTTTGGTAATCAGCCTTCTTATGTTGAGACCAGCTTCTTCCAGCGCAAGTGTTCTAAAACATGCTGGTAAGAGCGGCAAAGCCTCCTCAGACCTAGCCTTGGAAGTCTTCTTTTTGTCAAAGCAGTCACTAACCATCCCAGATTCCAGGTGTTGGAGTAATAGATTTCACCTCACAAAAGTAGAATGGCTTGTGCATTCAAGGAAGGAAGGGACTGATAGCGGTCATTTTAATGACAAGCTGCCACAAGCACCTACTATGTGACATGCACTATGATAGGTGCTGGGGAAAAGTGTTGAACAAAACAGGCATAGGCTCTGTCCTTGTGGAGATTAAAATCTAGCTTAATTAAGTTTAGTTTGACTTGACAGTTTCTACAATCAACTGCTAAACAGTAAATCTCGATCCTGAGTGTATTGGGTTATGAGGCTGACAAACAGCTATGCTGATAATTTGTGGCTGGTCATTTTGGGGCTCTCTGGTCCACAGCTTGATGATCAGACTGATGAGCTGATTCATCTATGCATCCCTTAAAACATGGTTGGAGCAAAGCAGACATTCACCTCTGGCTTAGCATGTTGAGTTCCTGCTGTGCAGGGGGACTGAAAGGAGCTTTTAAACTCATATCAGGGGATACAAGAGAGGCTGAAAAATCCGATTTTGCTCCTCATGCGCTCCCTCTTTGGAACAGTTCAGGTGCAGGGCAGTGGAGTGACTTGTGACAATCACAAAGCAGGAGGGGAACCCAAACAACACAGGATAAACTGCACAAGTGGTATCTTTGCGTTTCCCTCCTGAGAGTTATCTTCTGGAGAGAAGGATTTGATTATTTGCTTCATTTTTCTTCTCCTTTGTGTCATTAAAGGAAGGTGAGCTAAGATCATTAAGTGAAAGGAGTTTTCAGAGCAGGAATGTTGACAGAATTGGTGCTGTTCAGCAATCCTCAGGTCTTATCATTTTTGGCACAGTTCATGTCCTTTCAGTGGTGACAGTGAGGAGGGATTGGGGGAAGGGGCTCATGATGACACAAGAAATACCTTGATATGGTGGAAACAAAGGTCAACGCCTGAAAAGGTCCAAGGGCGGGCAGTATTCCTATGCACACTTGTCACGTTCTCTGCCACGGAACTATTGTGCCTTCTTCTGTCTGTATATCCATGTTATCTCACAGAACATGAAAGGACATTCTACAGCATGTTTCAAGCAAAACTAAGTTTCGGCTCAATTGTGATATTACAAGGCTCCTCCGTCAATCCATTAACTTTAATATCATAGATCATACTTCATCAATATGGATACTTTCCTCACACTGGTGATTCTTGGGTCCCCTGCTTACGATTTGCTAAATTAAAATTCTTCCATTTGTCATGCCATTTATTTATCTATCTGAAATGCCTGTTCCTACTTTCTCTGGATATTCATAACATTTTAATTATAGCCTGCTCTTCATTTGTCCAGTACATACTTATTTGATGCGTTGTGTGTTATGTTCTTTTGTGTCTGCTGATAGATTTATTAGTTTGCAACTTTTGGGGGGCACCTGATTTGCCCAACTGTATGGTAAACTGAATGATGGCACGAGCTTCTTTGTAGACACAAGTATACGTGTATGTATACGTACATATACAGGAGATGTCTTTCAGCAGCTGATTGAGATGCTTCATGCTCCATTTTCCTTTCTTTTTATAATGTACAACCAAGTAGACTGCCTGATGAATTAGATAAATACTTATGTCTAATGGGTTATTTAGGTTTTTAAAGCACCTCAACTTCACATTTGCAAGATTAAAAATAATCTAGGTTACTACTCACCTGGGAAAATATTTTTCATAAATTCATGACAAACGTTAAGTTCTTGAGCTATATGTGAATACTTGCGGTTGATTATTTAAGGTAAAACTGATTTTTAAAAAAATTACAGAAGTCTTATTCCTCAACTTGAGGCTACCTGCTATGCCTTTGAATTTCCATGTCAGTCCGTGGGAGCTTATTATCAAGATTTGTTTTTACTAGTTGAGGGAGTCACAAGCATGGCTTGGAGGACTTACATTTCCTCCTTTATAATGTCTAAGCATCCTCTGCTCTGACTCCTAAATGAACGTGCAATTTTAGAAGAAACTTGGGGTTGGCCTCAGGAAAAAATCTCCTGGTCACCATCCCTACTCTTCCTTCTTCTAACCAATTTGCTGTCCCTAAAACCTTTCTATGCACAAACTTTGGTGCTGCCCCTGCCTTTTCACTACCAAAGAGGCTCCCTCTTTGTCTCATTTCAGGGCCACCAGGAAACATTTTCCATCCTCCAAAAATCATGGATTGTTTTGCTATTCCTGGTATTACATTAACATGAGATGAAGCTTTCTTCTCATAATTAGGTATACACTTAAAATGCAAATCCTGCTGGAAGTATTAATACAATGGTGAGTCTTTATTCACTAAAAATGATAAGGACTGTTAGCAGATCTTTTCTTGAGAACAGGTTTTGGTTAGCGCAAGGTGGTGATTGGTTCTCAGGGAAGACATGTCACAGCAATCTTAAAGCAGTGGGTTCAAAAGTAAGAGATCCACACCCCATGGAGAATCCAAAATGATCCTGTGCAGAAAGAACATATTAAACCTTCTATTTAATTCTTTATTTCATCTTAAATAAAGAATTTTGGGGGGTATATGTTGACACACAGTACAGTCATACATATGTAATTTATAAGTAAAAATACACAGGTTGGATATGACTTAATTTTTTTTCTTTTGGTTGAGAGAAGTTCATGACCTAAAAGTTTAGAAAACACTGCTTATGAAGGACGAATGTGACTAAGGGCTTCCCGATACTATGTGAAGGAATAGGAAACAGTTACAAAACTAGGGTTTGCAACCTCAGAATTCTGACTCCGGTTATTACTGATTTCAGCTCTCTGATCAATAGGGAGTTTACTGACTCTCAGACTGACCCCAGGACAGTCCCTTTTAAGATGTTGAGAAATTGCTCAATTTTAGGATGTTGACCGAAGAAAGTAGATTCTAATCAGGCTTTTTTTTTTTCATTTTGTTTTCTCAAGGGTCCTATGGGAACAGAAAGTTTTGAGGGAGTTTACTGTTTGTGCAAGATGACTGGTTGGGTAAAGAAGTCCAAAGTTTATTATCTGCAGAACAAATACAGCCTGGGCAAAGGTAAGTGAAATGAATGTCTCCCACCTTGTCCCTTCAGCATGTCTGAGGGGATGTTTGCGCCGGTGATTGCACAATCGAGAACCTTATCTATGAATGTCAAAAGGAGAGGAGGTACGTGGTAGACTCCTACTGGTTAAACATAATCACTGATTCTTATTCTTCTTAGTTTGACAGGCAATTGATGGTGGTGCCTATACAAAAACCATTTTTAAAAAATCCGTTTGTCGGTGAAATATTTCTAAATATCTAGGTATTGTTTGTCAGATAGCATCCGAGTGGCTAAAATCAAATTTTTTTTCTCTGCCCCAAAATGTAGACAAAACAAGCTCTAGGCAACTACATAAATAAGTTTCCTAATTCATGGCTAGTCTGGACTTTTGTTGGTGATTGATGACATCAAGGACAATTGGATTGTTCTTGTCATTACTCCACAGTAATTACTGACAAGTATACATAACAGACAGACATACAGAGTGGGGCTCAACTAGTCTTTCAGAAGATAACATTGTCTGCACAAATGTTGATGGGAAAGTGGGATATGGGTGAGTAGTTAAGAACTTATTATTGGAAAAAAATTCAACGATGCCTTGAGTCTCAGAGATTCTTACTGACTAGATAATTATTTAACCATTCTCTTTATTTTGCTTTTTTGCTCTTATTATTTTTGTTTGAACTTGAACTTTGTTTAAGAAAGGGCTTAGACACTAAGAACAAGAGTAATCAGAATGAGATCCTCTACCTAATTTTTGGGTGGTTGAAAAAAAATCCTGATAAGATTTGTAATATGTTGTGGGGAACCTGCTTACAATTGTCTCAGTCCATGTGAGTATGTATAGCTATAAAAGTAATAACTAATACTGGTTAGTGTAGGTTATCTCAGTAACCATAACATTTACCAGTATAATTGTTTAAAAAGAAAAAAATTTCCAATATGGAAAAGAAAATTCCAATTTCTAAGCTTAAACCTTGCTAATGACCTATAGTTTGGAATTTCACTTATGACCACTTATTCAAGTGGAAAAACTAATTATAGTATAAATTTAGCTTAGAAGATTTGGAAATACTTCTCCTTTAGACTGTGAGACACAGAAGTGAGTCATAAATGAGGTTGGTAGATTCTGGACTCTTTCAAAGTCCAGGGTAAACAATCGCCTTTTGGGTTCTGTCAATTTTTAGTTTTTCCTGAGAATAATGACCTTTGGAGTGTCCCTCTAGTTTTAGGGTATTATTGGCCCTCTGCCCAGGGCTCACAACACTGAGTGTTCAAAGGAGCTACTTTCTGAGGCAGGTTGGTGGTGGCCGTGCCTTGGGGATGTGAGTGTTGACCTGCACAGCCAACTCCACGAGTGAAGTGAACGGGACGGCGTGTGATTCACAAGTGAGCGGTGACCCCTTGGAGCCTCTTAGATCAGTCTGTTAATCATAGTAAAAACCACAGCTACATATACCCGAGGACATGAGGCATTTGGTAAAGAAGGTGCCGGGATGAAAGGGGATAAAAGGGAGCAGAGAGACAGAGCCGAGAGGGCCAGGGCGAGAGTGCATGGGAGGCGTGTGGCTGGAGGGCTGGCCGCTCACGGGGCCTGGTTTTCCAATCTGGCACTGGGCTTGATGAGTCTGTTTATTCAGCTACAGTATCAGACATTCCCTTTTCCTGCCCGAAGAAGTCCCCTTTGAAGAACTGCTCTGCTGGGGAGTAGTTTCCCCTTGGACGGGCTACTCCTGTTTGCAGACCTAAAGGAAAAGAACTGGAAAGGCCACAAGAATGTCCTTTAAAGTGATATTCCAGCGCCACGTGAGGGGAGGATGAAATAGCAGTAAAAGATTTATTTCCTGGTTGAGGTATTTTTTTCCCCTCTCAAGTGACTTTAGCCCTGAACAAAGGTGTCACATGAATGTGGCGGGGGTCAGAGGTCCGTGGGTCCCTCCAGGTCTGTGTGGTCAGATGGGGATGAGGGGGGTGGAGAGCAGCGCAGAGTGGGAGCGTTCACACGTCCGCAGGCCTGGAGAGAGCCAAAGCACACCTGCACGGGTCCCAGAGAACGCGGCGGGGGTGGGGGGGGACAACCTGGTCCTGCAAGCCTTTATCTGCAAAGGGATCAATGGTAGGGACAGAGCGAATCGGATCATTCAGAGGTTGAAATTTTTTACTTTGGGGCTTTCCTGTTAATTTCTTGTATCTCATGATGACACATTTTACTTTTCAAAGAAGTTTTTCATCCGGCCCTCATGATAACCTTGTGAAGTGGCTAGAGTAGATGTCAGTCTCCTGAATTTTTCTCTCTGGAAAGCGATGTGGCCAAAGAAAGAGATGGATGCCCAGCTCATTACGAGCAGGGGCAGAACGACAACCCAGGTCTCCTGACTCCTGGACCAACCAGGTCTCTTATTTTTACTGTGCGACCTGTAAAGTGACGATGGGAGTTTCAGAAAAAAGGAAGGTGACATTCTCCATCTCCTCCCAGGCACATAGAAAGCTACTGTGGCTTTGAAGCCACTGCTTTGCTGTGTCCAAATTCTCTCTCCGGGACTGGCCTTAGGGAGGAGATTCAAAGTGGAACCTTCAGAGGGAAAGCTCGTATTCCAGTCAGTGCTGCCCGCGCCTCTGGTGGATTTGTTCAATCTTTCCCTGCACCACAGAAAACAGGAGCTCTCCAGAATGAAAAGGGACTTTTGTTCCATCTCTGAGATGAAGCCTTTGAGTAAGAGAGGTCATTCCCCGGTGAGGCCTGGCTCTCATGGAGAGGGGATGGGACCCACACTCTCACCTTGACTCCTGGCTGAGACTCCATGACTCACGTTGACTCTCCGGGCCCAGGAGGGAGATTCGTGTAGAAGGGAACACAAAGCACTAACGATGAATGAGTCCTTGAGGCATCAGTGTGAGACATCCGAGTTTCCTTCCAAGGAATACAGATGTATGCTTATCAGGGCTTCAGGTAGAAACGTGAAGAGGTCTTATTTATGGACTGCCCTGCCTGCTTTGACACACGCAGCCTTATATTTTATCTGTTTCTGGATGTTTGTCTTCTTTCTACGCGTAGAGCTGAAGCTGGTCGACATTGAGCCATATCTTGTAATTGTTTGTATCCTTTAAGGCTTCCACGTGCTTAAAATATCTGATGACTGGATGGGAATCCATTTTCAGCTGACCCCTTATCCCAGTGTTTCTCAGCCTGTACTTTGAATCTGAACCACCTGGGAAACAGGCACATGCACTTTGAAATAAGTCCTGAGGTGAATCTCATGTGCACCAGAGTTGGAGAAATGAACATTTCATTCCTTTTCTCCTTGACTTTTAGAGCTCTTGGTGACTTTGAACAAACACAATCTCAGAGTATGCAGTGTTTCCTGATTGACAAGGCTTATTTCACATGTTGGTTTCATTTATGCTTAATGTTATGAGGTTAATTTAATAATAGCCCTATGATGTGGGGTCTTTTTCTGCCCACTTTACAGATGAGAAGACAGAGGAGTTTTATTCTGAGGATCACTTAAGTCAGTTTGTGGCTGAGCCGGTACCCATCCTGAGTCTGGTGATTCCAGGTGCTGGATTCTTCCCCCACGTGCCCTTCAGCTCTGGACCTAAGCTATTCTCCACGTGGAAGGTGGCGTTCCTGATAACACTGCTGCCCACGTGGCTGGGGACAGTGCTATGATAGGTATGTGAAGCCAGGAGAAGCTAACACAGTCTGTTTTCTTAATGAAATCTATAGTGGGATAACTGGCTAAGACTAATACTGAAGTGCCCTTTCATGCAAATATTAGAGAGCAGCATGTTCATTATCAAATGGGAAAAGCAGAACCGGGACCTGGTGAGAGGTGAGGGCCCTTTCAGAAAAGGGCAGTGGGTTTGTTAGGTGATCTGTGATTGAAACTGTACTCTCCTGGCTTCATTTTCCTGGAAATGGAGAGGGCATGGGAAGCAAGCTGAGCCCCAGGACCTACCCTGTGACCTGGGGTCCCAAGGCCAGCTCTTTTGAGGTTGGCTGTTTTAGTGTGGACATGTGGAACACAGTGAAGGTGAGTGGTTCTCATCTCACTTTATTTAAAAGGTTCAGAATGCTCCAAAGTTCATCTGATGCTTACGGGAACATGTAGCCAAGCTTCCGATGGCAATGGAATGGTTGCTGGAATATTTCTAAACAGAACTTCCTACGTGGCCATTTACTCTCTCATTAGTTGCAATGTACAGACAGCCGTCAAAAAGACTTGTCAGTTGACAGAAAAGGTGAGCCTGAAACTTCTGCTAGTACCCAAATCTCTTCCACTAAGCTGGCAAAGGACCTCTTCTTTAATCATGGACTAACAGATGATTGATATGCCTGTACCCTGATTAGAAAGGTTTCATTTTACTTGTGCACGGTACATGGAATTAGTTAAGGGTTGCATAGGAAAAGAAGTGATGGACTATTGTTCACATTAAATTATAATGACAGCCTTCCTAACCACTGTGTATTTATTATGTAAGAAAAGAAAATGTCTGGTAAAATTCTGTATAGGTTAATAACACCTTCATAATATACTTCTTCTTTTTATGGACTTGAATAGCCCTCCTACTGACTTTTAATGGATTATTAGAGTTAATTACATCAATTGCAATATAATTGATTCTTAAATACTATGTAGAAACCTCATACAATTATGGAAAAACAAAAGTTATCTAGACATCTCAGATCAAAAAAGATTTGGAATTCCTGCACATTTAATTTCTGATAATCACTAGTCAGTTTGGACATTAAGATTGCATGGTGTCCTGTTTTCTCTTTGCTAGGTTTTGACAGAATTGATAGTTTTACAACATTTAACTCAATACGCATGGAAATATAAGATTAAAGCTGTGAATGCAGTTTTTTTTTTTCTAAAAAAAGATCACTTCATGGCTTAAAAGCTGAAATGTGTTACCTGTCTAACACTGACAGAAACAAACTCAAGGGAAAATCAAAAGTGGATTTGATGTTGAGTTTAGAAATCTCTTCTCCACAGGTGTAAAGATTCCTGTGGGTCTTAGGGTTTGTTACCTGAGGGCTTTAAAGTGTGACAAGGGGATGAATTGCCTAAAGGGGCAAAGAAAAGTTCCTCCCTCCCATTTTATTACCTAGACCCAGGCTATGTGTTCTAATGTCAAAACCACTGGTCAAAAAGTGAAACATCATTAATATCTGCTTTTGATGTCGTATAGATCAAAAGATATCCTTGTAATGGAGTTGTTTGACTGCAACCTTTTTATTTTTAACTGAGTTTGGGACACTAGTTTGTAGTATTGACACAGTTATAAATGTGAGTTTTCTAAAGAGCTCTACTGCTTCACAGATACAGATTTCTAGATCATTTGAAAACGGTCTACAAATAAATGTGTAAAAGAATGAGAGCTGGATGCAGTGGACAGGTCCCTGGAGTGAGAATCAGCTGATCAGATGTCTTCGTTACTGCTTGGCAATATGACTTGACCTAACTGGGCCTTAACATTCTCTTCTGTAAAATAAGAGAGGGAGAGAGAGAGAGACCCTCTAAGCTGTTCAGCCATGAATCTCCTGCTTTGACTTCTTGGTGCTCTTAATGTTGACACACTCACCTAATTATTAATATAAGCTTCCTTATAGTGATATGTAAGTTGCATATATTAATATGTCTTTTATGTGTATGTATGTATGTCTTATCTGGTTAACTAGTTATGAATTTCCAAAGACAAGGTCTATGTCACATACATCTCTTATGCTAATGACACACACCATAGTTTTCTAGCACAGAATTGTTACCGTTTGGTGGAATGAGCAGCCGATCCAAAAGAAATGTATCCATTCCCTGAAAGTTTTGATAAAACAAGAACAAAGACAAATAAATGCCCTTTATTATACTGGTTTAACTTTTTAAAATATTGTAAAATATTTTATTTTATGAACCTTTAGTTGTGCTTTAAATCAGATGCACTTAATACATAAAATTTCACTCAGTTTTTCTATAAATTGAAATGCAATACCATTTCCAGTGGGATTTTAATGGAACTTGAGCAACCTATTCTAAAATTTACCAGGAAGGGCAACAAATGACAATAGTCATGAAAAGCAAACAAACAAAAATTAAAGTGAGTGGCGCCTTACCCGAGTAGTTATCAAAACAAACTATTCATCTTATGCAATACATAATTGTAGTGATGAAATTCATACACAAATGTAGTGTTAGAGAAATTAACTAACCAAAAAGATTAGAGTCCAGAAACAGATCTAAGAATATAGAGGAATTTTAACAGATAATATGGAGGCATTTCAAATCAGTGGCTAAAAAATAGACTGTTCAGTAAATGATATTGGGACAACTGGCTCTCCATCTGGACTCATACCATACACAAAAGTAAATTCCAGATGGAATAAAGCTCTAAACATAGACATCAAATCTATACAAGCATTGGAAGGAACTGTGAATGAACCTTTAAAAAAATAACCTTGGGTGAAAAGTCTTTGTAAACAAGATGGCAAATTCAGAGACCATTAAGAAAAACCTGACAGAGGAGACTTTATTTTTTAAAAAATCATAAACAAAGTTAAAAGAGAAATGACAGATTGGGACAAAACATTTAAATTATACATTACAGGAAAAGGGGTTACTACATTATTCAAAAGGCGCCCATAAATTAATGAGAAATATATAAATAACTCACAAAAAATGAGCAAATGATATAAAATAATTTCCAGGAGATAGTGCAGTGGCTAGCAAACATTTGAAAACTATGCTTGATGTATTTCACCACAGTGCAGGAGTGAATAGTTTTTTAAAAAAATATATATTTTATTGATTATGCTATGACAGTTGTCCCATTTTTTCCCCCTTTATCCCCCTCCGCCCTACACTGCCCCACCCCCCCAGTATCCCAACCCCCACTCAGTTCATGTCCATGAGTTGTACATATAAGTTCTTTGGCTTCTCCATTTCCTATACTATTCTTAACCTCCCCCTGCCTATTTTGTACATACTATTTATGCTGCTTATTCCCTGTCCCTTTTCCCCCATTCTTCCCCCTCCTCCTCCTCTCTGTTCTACTGTTCATAGTCTTTTATCTTCTTTTTCTCCCGTAAATCCCTTTAACATCTCATATAATAAGGGCTTGATGATAAGGTCCTTTAACTTGACCCTGTCTAGGAAGCACTTTATCTGCCCTTCTATTCTAAACGATAGCCTTGCTGGATAGAGTAATCTTCGATGTAGGTCCTTTCTTTTCATGACTTTGAAACCTTCTTGCCAGCCCCTTCTTGCCTGCAGGGTTTCTTTTGAGAAATCAGCTGACAATCTTATAAGGAACTCGTTTGTAGATAACTCTTTTTCTTGCTGCTTTTGAGATTCTCTCCTTATCTTTAATCTTGGATAACTTAATTATGATGTGCCTTGGTGTGTGCTTCCTTGGGTCCAACTTCTTTAGGACTCTCTGAGCTTCCTGGATCCCCTGGAAGTCTATTTCCTTGGCCAGATTGGGGAAGTTCTCCTTCATTATTTTTTCAAATAAGTTTCAGTTTCTTTCTCTCTCTCTTCTCCTTCTGGCACTCCTATGATTCAGACGTTGGAACGTTTAAAATTGTCTCAGAGGTTCCTAAGCCTCTCCTCATTTTTTTGAACTCTTGTTTCTTCATTCTGTTCTGGCTGAATGTTTATCTCTTCCTTCTGCTCCCAATCACTGATTTGAGTCTCGGTTTCCTTCCCTTTACTGTTGGCTCCCTGTATATTTTTCTTTATTTCACTTTGTGTAGTCTTCACTTTTTCCTCCATTTTGCCACTGATTCCATGAGCATCCAGAGTACCAGTGTTTTGAACTGTACATCTGATAGGATGGCTCTCTGTTCATCACTTAGTTCTGTTTTTTGAGCTTTCATTTGTTCTTTCATTTGGGTCATATTTCTTTGTCTCAGTGCACCTGTTAGGTTGGAAGGGGCGGAGCCTTAGGTATTCGCCAGGTTGGAGCAACCCAGGTTGCTGTGTTGTGCTGCCGTGTGTGGGGGAGGGGTCCGAGAGGGAACAATGCCGGTTGCTTGGCTCTCCGTGGGCTTTCAGTCACTCCCCCGCTACCCACAAGTAAATTGGGCCCTTCTGGTGCTGATTTCCAGGTGGGTGGGTTTGTGTACGTTCTAGGACCTTGTGGGTCTCTCCAACGGATTCTCCTGTGAGACCGGGAGTTTTTCCTGCCGCTGAAACCCCCATAGGTTTTTAACTCCAGAGGTTTTGAGGCTTTTTTTCCTGCACTGGAACCCTGGATTGTGCGGTCTGTCTCACTCCTTAGCTGTTCCTCCAGTTTACCCTCACACAAACATGGGACGCCCAGGTCTGCCAGCCACCGCCTCACCCGCCTGGTCCTTCAGCTGCCACCTTGCTGTGCGTCCCCTCCATCCCCGCTGCCCATCTCTGCCCATCCTACTGGTCTGGATGAATGTTTCTTCTTGAACTCCTTCGTTGTTGGACTTCCACACAATTCAATTTTCTGGCAGTTCTGGTTATTTTTTGTTTTAAAATTTGTCATTGTCCTTCTTTTGATTGTGTGAGGAGGCAGAGTGTATCTACATATGCCTCCATCTTGGCCAGAAGTTCTAATGTCAGGAATGAATAGTTTTTTTTTCATTAGAAGTGAGTTATTGGTGGCTTTGTAACTGGCAGCCTGGAAACTTCTCACTTCCCTTTG